AACCACTACACTATATAATACGCTACATACAAATTCTATTTATGGTGTATAATACAAATACGTTTGCCTTAATATTTGCGTAAGTATGTATGTGTGTGTATGCACATAATACGAATACAATATATGTATATTATGTATAAGAGTTACGTACATACATATGCACATATAACGCACACCTTTTTAAGGAAATAATACATTTTTAAGGAAATAAGTAAGTAGTTGAAAACAAAAAAAAAAAAAAAAAAAAAAAAAAAAAAAAAAAAAAAAAAAAAAAAAAAAAAAAAAAAACGCTTCAAAGGCAGCAAGCGCTGTTGAAGACAAAATAGAAAAAATATTACAAGCATACGCTAACTAAACTAATTTATATAAAATAATATTGCAATCGTTGAAATGTGGTATATAATAATTATATTTACACACATATATATATATGTATTTATATAGACATACGCTTTACAGGCAAATCAAGCTTAAGCCAAAATACATTGAAGCAAATTTTTGTTATTTTTTTTAGAAAATTTAGTTGTATATTCATTCGTTGTGATGTTGTGTTTGTTGTTAAGTGGGCGGTTTCTTATATAAGACTATTTCACTTCAGTTTTGGACGATGTTGCAACAAAATTTTACTTTTTTGTTGGCGTGAAAATGCAAATACTAACAATTTGTTGTTGTTTATATGAAATTTGTTTTAATATATTGTTTTTAATGATAATTATGAGTAATTCTAACGGGTTTCAAAGTAAAATTTTGTATAAATAATTTTTTAGGTTATTTAAAAATTATCACAAAAGAAAATATGCAAAGAAGAAAAATAATTTTTAAATAACCTGAAAAAATAAGAATTTTTAAATAATCTAAATTTTATTTTATTTTTTTGCACAGGTATAACTTAAAAAAAATAATAATTTTTAAATAACGTAAAATTTCTTTTATCAACTTTTTATTTACATTTGTTGTTAATGCAGAGAAACAATATAATTACCATCAGGGTTGCAATTTTTTAACTAACCCACTTTGGATCCAGTATTAGATTTTCATTTTTTTAAACTAAGTTTTTTATTAAAAATTATATTTTCAATATTCATTACAAGATATTGGAACCAAAAATTTTATTTTCAATTTAAAAGTTTTTTTCAATTCGGTATTCGGTATTACAAATTTTGGAAATTATTTTTAAATAAAATTTTCAAGATTACAATTATATTTTTCAGATTTGACACATTATGTTGGAGCCAAAAATGTAATTTTAAATTTTTTATGTCAAATTTGGAAAAACAATTTTTTTTTCAATTCTATATTGAGTTAGGAATTTTAAAATTACAAGTTAGAAATTTTAAAATTACAAACAAAACATTAAACACATCAAATCAGTGTTCGGGATTAGAAATTTTAAAATTATTTTTAATTAAGATTTTCAATTTTCAATACAAAATGTTGGCATCAAAAATTTAATTTTCAAATTTTAAATCGATTTTGGTATTAACATTTTTTACTTTTCAATTCGACATTCGGGATTAGAAATTAGAAAATTATTTTTAAATAAGATTTTCAAAATTACAAAGTTAAAAAAATATATGTATATAATTTAAATTTTGAAACAATTTTATGTTTATATAGTTTATACGTGCATTATTTGCAACCCTGATTAAATCTCATATAAACGAAAATACGAAAATAGACCTTTAGTAAAGATTTTTAATTTTTATTTGCCATTTCAAAAACATTTTTACTTGCATTATGCTCTGAAAAAAATTATTGCTGAAGATAAATCATATGCTAGCTGACAAAAAAAAGTGATTTTTATGCTCCATCTCGCTCCAACATTAATAAATGATTCCCAGTTACGGAAAAACCCGTTATTATTCTGCATTTTTTTTTTTCGAAAAAGCATGTTTTCAGAACCATAACAAATGCAACTATTGTAGTAGCATTTTTTTAAATGTAATAGTATGTTTTAACAATTATTATAGTTTATCCAACAAAAAATTGTATCCAGTAAAAAAATATGTACTTGCAACTATCACACTTTATTAGATAGCGGAAAAAATTATTATTATATCCCTCCTCAGTTACCGAAAAAAAATTATTGTTATTGTTCTGATAAAGCATATCAAAGCTGGAGCACAAAAATAGACGTTACGCAACAAGTAGTCGAATTATTCCAAACAAAAATTTATAATTTTTAGATTTATTTTTCGCATGCTTAACAAAATGCTGTGCATAATATTTTCGCAGCATTTTTTCTGTTATGAAATTTCAGTATTTAAATTTTGTTTTCAAATTTCAAATTTCAAAATTAATTTTTTTCGAATTTTCAATATTAAATTTTTTTGGAAATTTCAATGCATAAATTCTTTTAGAAATTTCAACGTTTGATTGTTTTTTTTTTTGGAAATTTCAATATTTACATTTTTTTTTTAATTTTTAAAATTTAAATACTTTGCAAACATAAAAGCAAGCGTGAGTTATATCTGTATTTAGCAAAAATTAAGCGTCTCTTTATACTAAACTTTGATTTGCGTGACAAATAAATTCGCTCTCCGCGCTCGGCAGCACTGAAAATTGCATGCGCATGCGCAAATTGTTTTCTAATATGCGTCTAAAACAAATAGCAACGCAGTTCATTTACAAAATTGTAGCATACACCGCTGCAACTATGACTAACTGCTTACTCACATAAGTAGCATTTAGTTTACGCGTTTTAATATCAATGTTTGGAAGAACTTGCTTTGACTGGTTGACGTGTTTTGCTTTTTGTTGGCTTTACTTGTATTATTTTTGTTTTCTTTCTTTTCTTGTTTTGTTGTATTTTCTTGTTTCTTTTATCGTTTACTTTACTTTCCTTTGCTTTTTTTTCGTTTCCTTTTCTAATTTTTTTCTGCTTTCTTTGCTTGTGTTTTCCTTTTCTGCATTTTTTTTAGGTTTTGTTTCTCCTCTTATTTTTTTTCTGTGAAGTTTTTTTTTCTTCTCTCATTTCTATTTAAATTTTTTTTTTTTTTTACTTTTTCTTATACTTACAATACATACATCTGTTTAGTTATAAGGTAGACTATTCGAGCACTTTTAAGGAAATTTTCTTTATATGTATATACAAACACATACACAACCTATAGTGTGGTATGCGTGTATATATCTAACTAGATTTATTGCTGAGCATTACTTTTATTCGGTTTGTTGTTTTTACAAAACATGCATACATGCGTGTCTGCGTGTGTGTTTAACAAAACCTTATTTACTATACAATTAATTACAATTCTTTGATTTACATACATAAAAATTAACTTAATTACGCATTAGATAGCTGTTAAAGTCCAGCTTTCGCACGATATGTTGCTCTGTGTATATATAAAGGGTGTTCGTTATTTTACAAATTGTTTAATTTTTTGCGACCGTACGCTGAAGTTACAGCTTTTGCCCAAGAAATAAGGATCCATCCGTAAACAAGCGCTTTATCTCTACATAATTTTTTCCGTACATTTGACATGAGATTTTTTGATCTTTTGCAGTATTAAATTTATTTCCGTGCAAATGAAACCCACAACTTCAAAGTAGTGTTATTCCAATTTTAAATTTTCTGCGCTACAAACAAATTCTTAATAATTTTTCTCATAAAAGCATTGCATTAAAAGTTATGCGCAGTTAAAGTTATGCTAGTACATTTTATGCATACAGTGCACCATGTCGTATGAGTAACAAATAATACATAAATCACTTGTATGAATGCTCAGTGTATTGCTTTGAGAGCCCATTACTTAGAAATGAGTGGGTTTATGAAAAAAATGATTTAGAGCTTTTTTGTAGAGCAGGCATTTTTTTACTAGAATAACACTCTTTCATAGTTTTAGCTCTACTTTTTTAAAGCAAAATGTCAAGTCATCACATGAAATATAATTTTGAGACCGTTTAAATAAAAAAAAATATATATATATTTTTAATTCTAAGAACACTTTTTATAGTTGTAGCTTAACTTTTTTAAAGCAAATTATCAAAAAGTCACACGAAAAATAATTTAATCATGCTTTAAATTGAAATGAAATCGCTTTTTTATATTGTACCCTTTCTTTTTATGAGAAAAACTGAAACTTCAGCTATCATTACAAACAAAAAAAAATCAATTTGGCTAACAACTGACATCCTAATATAATATATATAGCATTAATAAGCAGTTTTTGGATACTTTTCCCATATATATATAAGTAGTTTGCTTGACATTAATATTAAATGTTACTAATTAGAAATTATATCGTTTTTGTTTTCTACACCCCATAATGGCTTTAACAAAAAAAAAAACAAAAACATTACAATACAAATTTTAAGCATAAATTATAAATTATATCACAACAATAAAGACAACTGCGTTTTGTGCGCGATCAAGTAGTTACAATTCAATATTCATAGGACATTAGAAAAACGAACATATGATCGACAAGCTCAATAAACTATTTGTAGACTAATAATTACAAATTACAACGTTCACATACTTTCTTACTTTGAATATTACACGTTACAGCTGGTTTCCCGAATGACATACAAACATATTATATAACTGTATATAGCACAGTATTTTAGGTTAGAAGTTGAAAAAAAACACGCGTCACAACAGCCTTTGCTTTACACGACTATTTTCCCCCCCAAGTTATGCTGAGACACTGCCTGGTGTGTATGCGCATGCGCAGCGCTGCCGCTCCACAACAGCAATAGACGACATTACATAAACAAGAGTGCTTTTGGCTTCATGCCGCAAACACAAGCACAGTCTTTTCTCTAATATGCCTTAAATTCATTGCAGCCGCAGCGTGTCACACGCAAATTTTCTACCTTACATTGCAGCTGTTTGTATGGCGGCGCATGTCGCGTACACGACGACGGCGCTTGTGTTGTCGGCGTTGACGTTGACAACAGCGACGATACTGTTTCTCTTCCTCGCTCTTGCGGTGGCGAGGCGCACTGAGATCCATCATTTGGATTGTCAACATTGCTTGTTTGTTCGCCGTCGGATACTAACTTTTGCTAAGCGCCTTCTTTTTTCTTTGTACTAATATATCGTAGAAGGGATTATGACTAATCGACTGTGTTAAACGTTTGATCCATTCTAGTTGATCCTCTTCCGTTGCCGCCGACATGCGGTATACCGTATGTTTGCCTTCCACAACCTGCAAGTGTAAATACATATATGCCTGAATAACCAGTAAATATATACAATAAATATATATATATAAGACAAAAACACATAAGCTAGGAGTATATATAAATAATATAATCTATGCCACTCACCTTTCCCTCGGAGTCAGTCTTACAAGCTTTAATAATATCAGCGCCACCGGTCGCGAACAGTTCAAAACAATGGGGTTTGCTGCGATCGTGTATTTCGCGAACCTGACGAATATAAAAAGAATGTAAATGTAACAGTAAATAAGTGAAATATCATTCTTCATTACTCACCGATATATTTTCCAGTGGTATGATGCCTCTGGGTTCTTTATCCGTTGTGTACTCGAAGTAGTACAGACAATTGTCGTTCAATATGAACCAGCGTCGCTTCCACGATTTATAACTGCAACAACAAGAGTTAAAAAATCAGCTGTGTGGGTTTAGTACGCATAATTCTTATGTGCTAGAGAAACTTTTATTCGAATTTTGAGATTTTATATAAAGTAAGGTCAGAGAGTGAACCTTACGAACGAATTGGTTGCCGTTAGGTCTACCGGAACGGACCCGGATTTTTTATCCGTCCAAGGACTGTGAACTTGGTAGAATTCTGAAACTATAACAACAACAGTTGGCACAGCCAACCACTATTTTATCTGTAAGTAGTACTAATCCCTGCATCATGGCGGACGCCGAAGGGCGATCGGTGTTAGTAAGTTCACAGGACCCTAGAGCATTTGTAAACTCATCGAAATGGTTAGGGGGATATTTTATGTTACTACAATAATATTTATAATACCAAATAGTTCAAACCCGAAAAATATTAAAATTTGATATATTAGGGTGCTTCCCGAATGTTTTGGCAGAAATTTCAACATAATTTTTTTCCGCTTAAGCGCTATTATAGATATACTCTTGATTTTTATGATTTCGATATGGTATACGTACAAAAATTCAAAATCTCGAAACTATACTATTAAGTTAAGTATGAATTAATTGCTTTGGACAAAATAAACTTTCAGGTTATGTATGAAATAATATTTTTGGATGAATACTTGATATTCGAAATGTGCAAAATAAGCCATATAACTATGTAACTTAACTAGAAGTAGCTTAAAATCGGTTATGTACAACTGCTATGATTATTTTGTATATTTGTATATATGATTTCGTAGACTATTTATAAATAATAAAAAAATTATAATAATAATAAAATTTAATGGCAATTGTTGACTTACCGTCCACCCTGCTTCCACAGCCAGCCCTCCTTGTCTGGATTGAAGAATGTATGCATCAAATCATTACCATCATCTTGTGGTATTTTAAATGGTTCCGTTCGTATTGATTCGTAAAGGGATTCTAGTAGGCCGCGGGGTAGATCGCCGCCGTTGTTAATGCCGCGATTCATTGAAATGAAATGCTCAACGGTGGGCTTGTCCTTAACCTAGAAATGAAGGATGAAAATTAGTATTGTGAAATAAATATGATATATTAAAAGCAAAAACAAATTTAAAAAAAAATATATTAAAAAATAAATAAAAAAATATTAATAAAAAAAATAAAAAAAATATTAAAAAAAAAAAAAACACAAAAACCTTTGCCTTCGCCTGCACCGAAGTTGTTTATGTAAAAAACTTAATATCCAACTGAATAAGTTTGCTTGTCAGCTATATGCTATAATCGACTGATTTGAACAAAATGTACAGAAATTGTACCGAAGAAAGATTGAACAAGAATTCTTGTCAAAATTCGTCAAATAAAATAGTTGTTCATACAAGAATTTAACTTGGTCGCCCAATTTGTATGGCAGCTATATGATATAGTGGCACGATCTGAAGATATTTTTTGGAGATTGTAGAGTTTAATCTTTATTAATAATATATCTCGAATTTTCGGAGATTTTTTGTCAAATAAAAAAAAAGGTTTTCTATACCTTGATTTTTATTGATCTGTTTGTATAGCTGTCATCTAAATGTTTTCGTGGTCTAATCTAAAAAATTTCTTCGGAAATTATAGCATTGTCTTCAAAAATCTTCTATGCCAAATTTCAAGCAAATATCTTTTCAAATAAACAAGCTTTCTATACCAGAACTTTATTTTAATCGATCAGCTATAAGCTATAGTGGTCCAATCTGAACAATTTCGTCAGCAATCATAGCATTGTCTCCGAAATTTTTTGATGTCAAATTTCATGAAAATATCTCCACAAATAAAAAAGTTTTCTATACAAGAATTTAATTTTGATCGACCATTTTGTATGGCAGCTCTGTATTATAGTGTTCCAAAATATGCGGTTCCGACAAATGAACAGCTACTTCGGAAGAAAAGGACGTGTGCCAAGTTTCGTATAGCCATCACAAGAACAGCATAGGAAATTTCATCGAAAACATAATATCGCTTGCTGCCAAAGTGAATAATAAATTAGAAATTTAAAAAAATATATATTTAAAAAAAAAATATTCATGAAATTTTCAGTCTGTTTGGTATTTATACTAATTGTGCATTAATTTTGCTCAAATGAAAAAAATTGTATTCTAGATTTATAAGCGCTAGTATTGGGGTCATTGCCCTCTTCTAGTGACAAGTCGCCACGTAGTTGCGAATTCATGCATCTACTTATTAGATTTAGTACTCAAATTAAGCGAGAGCGTTTGCATGATTCTGAAATCTAAGTCGTAACAGTTACGAAAGCTTAACAAGCAGAAACACACAACCAAATATACATATGTAGTGTATATAAGTATTTGAGTAAGGCAAATATAAAATGTGTAAAATACATTTCAAATTATACTTGACCTATTTTTAGAATTAAGCAATTACTCAAAACAAATGAGATCATTCAGGCAAACAATAACAACAACAACAACAAGCCGCAAACAATTAGAGCCGTTTACATGCTGTTTTAATGGAAACAAATGAGCCAATTGCAGGGTGAGGTGTTGGTGGGCGGTTAATGGTGGCGTCGTGTAGTGTAAATGCCGGTTTCGCACTAAATTATGCCAAACAATAAAGGAAAGACAAGCCAAAAAAAAAAAAAAATAGTGATGATCAAGAGCAGCAAGCTAACTGGGGCGGATGTTACCGACTTTGTAAAGAAATATATAAGTTGCATCAGCAGTTGCAACAGGCTGACAGTGGCGGCCACCTGCTATTAGCGTGCATGCCAAATGCAATGAATATTCATAGCATGCTGCAGATAGCAACAACAAAAAAGAGCCTTTTGAATTAAGCGAAAAATTTGACAAATTGTTTAGACAGCTTGGGGTGCGCGACCAACTTCCGATAAACCCTGAGCTATAAATAATAGAAACCAAATAAAACATATGAATAGTATATAAATATAAAAAAAAAAATACAATAAAAATAAAAACATTAATTTCAGTTGCACTGCAGCTAAAATACCCTTTACAAATTGAAAAGTTCTCTGCAAGCACATGATTTTGATCTTTCGGTTTGTATGGTAGCAATATGCTATAGTGGTTCGATCTAAGCAATTTATTTTGAGATTATAGTATTGCTTTAAACAATAAACCATGCCAAATTTTGTGACGATAGCTTGTTGAATAAAAAAGTTTTCCATCCAAGGATTAGATTTTGAACGGTCAGTTTATATGACGCTATATGCTATAGTGGTCTGATATCGGCGTGTCGAAAATTATAGACTGATATCTCAAAAACTGAGGGACTCTCTCGTGTATATACAGACAGACGAGTTCTGAGTGTGAGAAACTTAATAAACTCTGATCAGGGTATAAAAAAAATATAAAATAAAATAAAAAAAATAAAATAAAAAAAATAAAATACTAAGAAAAAATAAAATAAAAAAAAAATACTAAGAAATAAAAAAAAAATACTAAGAATAAATAAAATAAAAAATAAAAAAACGTAAAATGAAAAAAAAAAAACTAATTAACTACTTCGGCACGCACAGTATGTGATCGGAAGCGTGCACAATAGCAGAAAAGCATAAAATCATTGAGCTGTTAAGTACTGCAAATTTTGCAGCATCACTTTTTGTTTCGCTCTTTTCATTACTGTTCGTTTTTTGCTAATTCGTTTAATTGATTTCCGTTCGCAGCGTATAATTTGTGCATGCAGTCGCAGGCAGCACACTTAAACGGCGCTATTATACTTATACGCCTTCTCCACCACCTCTCCACTATAGACTTCACTTACCGATGGGTTGTGCAGTGATGTATTGAGCATAATAATGGCGAAACTTAGCACGTAACACGTATCGGTATTTGTGAATATATCCGGATTTAGTTGGCAATAGCGTTGCGCGAAACATTCCATCATACGGTCGATTTTCTGCGCCTCACCCGGAAGCCGAAATGACCACAGGAATTGTCTTAAAGCTTGCACCAATATTAGATTCGTAAAGTCGTGCAGTGCTACGAATGCTTTCAGCACGTCCTCATTGAAGTCGTTCTTTTCGCCTAAGTAGTCACCTGTTGGGCAGTAAATATTGAGTTATTTTGTTTAATCGAAAATTGTATATTTTTTGTTAACTCACCGATTGCTGTTTTATTGAGACCTTCGCCTTTGTAGAGGAAATGCGCAACATCTTGGGGGTCGTGTCGAAGCAGGCGATTTTCCACTAAGTATTCAATACCTGCAGAGTAAAAAATAATTAAGTAAATTATTTCAATTTTCAAATCAAAAATATTAAAATTTAAAAAATATAAAAATTAAAATATTGCCTGAGTCTAAGAAGTAATTCGATCTCATAATCACGATCGACGTTATCCTCAAACAAGTCCAGTCCAAAAAGCAACGTTCTATACTAAACAGGTAATAACATAACCTCAAAGAAAAAAATAATAATAATAATTTCGGGGTCCTATATAAACAGTACTTTCGACGATTGTAGCGTTGGCAAACCAAATTTCGTGAAGATATCTTGGTAAATACAAGCAATTGATTTCGATCGTTCAATTTGTATGACAGCTACATGCTATAGTTGTCCGATTTGAACAATTTCTTCGGGAGATTATGTTGTTGGATTCAAAAATAAATCATGCCAAGTTTCGTAAAGATATGTTGAAAAATAAAAAAAGTTTTCCATATAAAGATTTAATTTTTATCGATAGGTTGGTATGACAGCTTTATGCTATAGTGGTCCGATTTCAACAATTTGGTAGGTGAATGGAGCATATACAAGCACTTGATTTCGATCGTTCAATTTGTATAACTATAGTGGTTCTAAATTCATGGCTTCGACAAATGAGAAGTTTCTTGGGGAGAAGAGGACGTGTGCAAAAATTAGGATCGATATCTTGAAAACTGAGAGAGTAGTTCGCGTATATAAAGACCCAGAGACGAATATTACCAAATCAACTCAGTTTGTGACTTTGGCTATTTGAATATATATGTATGTATGACTGGGGTATTAAAACCTGCGTGGCAAATTTAAAGTACACTGTTCTGGTTATAAAAAAATATATAATAAAAATATACATTTTGAGCATGTATTAATAAAAATATCCAATAATTCAAAATAACCTGATATGATTCTGATATTGTCCACAAACTAAAAAAATCATATTATGGATTTGAAAATTTATCAATAAAAATATTTTATTATTAAAAAATCCACCCAGAACAGCCTGAAAATATTAAAATAACCTTAAAAAAGAACATTTTTGGTTTAAGACCAACCACTCAGATTGATCAGACAAAAATATAACCTTAAAAAACATTCGGTTTGACAATCATGAAAAAAGTTGAAAACAAATAAAAAAATTGATAAAGATAACAACAACTAGAGAATAGGTGTGCCTATGTCAATATAGATAGTTCTCCATTCACCGGATATTATTTGACAAATGCAATACAACAACCAAAGACTATAAAAACAATTAAAAAACAAAAAAACAAAAATTAAAAAAAAACATTAAAAAAAAATTTAA